TAGGAAAGTAAAAAGTGCACATATGACTGACTTTCAAGGAAGAGAATTTTAAGAAAGTTAAGGGAGACCCAGTCATTGCAACTCTGCCTCCAAGTTTGTCACAGCTTTATCCATTTGTTTAGTAGAAGCTACTGAACCACTGTTGTTCAATAGAAGTTAACGTGCCCAGGTAAGTCATGATAAGAAAAATACATTTTTCCGTGTTTTAGCGCCCTTTCTTACCAGTGGATTTGGCAGAGCGAAGCCCACATCTTTGTCTATATGGTATTCTTCAAGGATTTCCCAAGAACTTTCCATGGGAGACACTTGCTCATGAGCCATTCTTGCAGTCTCCTCCTCTGGTCACCCACAGAGTCTGCAGAGCTTCAGAACATCTATTTATCACAGTGGTTGCTATGGCCAGTGACCACAACTCATCACGTAGGCAGTAGGAATGACTTCCACTTTTGGGATAGTTTCACTTTTGACTTTCATTATTTGTAATTTCATAAGCAATAAAACCACAAAAACATCTCATATTTCATGATATTAAGAAACTGAAAGTTCACTTGCCATATCAAATCTGTATTACTAGAAATATCATTTATTCACTGCCATGTGAGAAGCCAGAAAGGGCTTGATTGAAATTACCAAAATTTTACCATGGCTCCAGTTCTAAACCATCATTTAGTTTTACTGACTTTCTTTTAAGCTTCCAGGTTCCTGGAAAATATCAGTGTCTTGTTTCAGCAGCCCTGAAATCCAACCTGCGATACACTGAATTATCAGTCAATAGCTCTGAAGGAGAAAATAATAGAGGCACATGAAGAATTCAAAGATAGTGCCACTCCACCGCCCCATTTTTCTTACCTAAATTTTACCTGTGTTCGTGATGACAGAGTTCTCTCTTCTTCGTGTTCTTCCTAAATAACTTTGAGGAAGATGGTGTTGCTTCTCCACTGTATCGGATTGCCAAGGACTGACACGACCGGAGTCCTACACATTTGGAGACTCTGCCATATGTTAAAAATTGAAGCAGAGGATAAAATATCTTGAATTTTTTTTTTTCAAAGTACAAGTTAAGACTGCACTCGGGAAAGGCTTTCAGGGCGGAAGCGAGTCTGCAGTCACTTAGAGGCATTGTTCGTTCTCACCAAGCGCACCTAAGCGAAAGCAGAGCCGTAGAGTTCCTTTTGATGATGAAAAGGAGGAAAGAGAAGTTCACGTTCAGTGCATTGAAAGACAATGCAGATTTGCCATCTGGTTAATTGCTCTGATCCTGCAATTGCTCTCCTGCTATTCTTCTCTATTTCATTATGGCTTTTTTTAAAAACATGTTTTTTTACAAGAATATATTCTCCATATAAGAAATGTAAGGGAAACTGAAACCAGAATTACGAAGAAAAGTGAATGCAATGGCTAAGCTCCTTCACAATAAACGACTCATAAGGCTGATATGTTAGGAACCAGGCCCAAGGAAAAGCATAGACAGGAAGATTGTATCTATATGAAAGACAAAAATAACAACAAAATATTGAGAATTGGAAAATGTATTGTTATTCTCATAATATTTCATTCTTTGTACCTGAATTTTTCTATGATTGAGTCAAAACAAAGACATGGAATGAAGTTTTAGATGATTCTGTCTTGAAAAAATCTCTCGGAATTGCTTTTTTTATAAGAAGCATGGCTTGATAAAACTGTTTCTTGACTCTGCTGTTATGGCTTCCTCACTAAATCTGTCCTACCTTTGACGGCAGAAACAATAGTGCTTTACTGACTCAATTGTATCTCTATCTTTTTAACTCTCTCAAATTTTGGGCCCTTTTTATTTTTGCAACTATATTCTCAACTCATCCTCCTTTAACTCATCTTGATTTTTCTTCAGCCATAATCACATCTCCTTGAAAGCCTGTTTTCACATGGTTTCAGAAGAGCATCTTAAGATTTCATATGGATTCTTTATCTTCCTTTTCAGTTTCTTTATTATTATTTATTGCAAGCATATTCATTATTACAAGTAGTGATTTCTCTTTATGCCCTTTATCCAACATATCCCTCCCCAACCACCCCCACTGCCTCCCCCACATCCATCTCTAGTATCCTTAGAGTATGTAGCATCTGAAAGTTCAACATATTGTTTTGGCCTTATTCCTTTTTTTCTTTCTTTCCTTCCTTTCTCTGTTCCTGCCTTCTTTCCTTCTTTATTTCTTTTTTTCTTAACACCCAGTTATGAGTGAGAACATGTAGTATTTTTCTTTCCTTGTCTGGCTTATTTCAACATAATTTTCTACAGACTCATCCAT